TGATTAATTGCTGTCCGGATTAGCCCACCCCCCCCCCTTTTTTTTTTTTTTTTTTTTTTTTTTTTTTTTTTTTTCCCCCTTTTTAAAGATTTAATTTTTGTCCCGGGTTTCCCCCCCCCCCCCCCTTTTTTTTTTTTTTTTTTCTCCCTTTTAATTCTGACCGGCCTCTCGCCGGCGGAGCGGCGGGCAGAGCAGTTCCTCGCAGCGAGCCCTAAGAGTAATAACTGTTTGCTAATTGTAAAATCCTTATCCAGGATGAGGTTTGGGCAAACAATTTGTAGGGCTGTAATTACATTGTAAAAGTGTTTCGGGCTCCGGGTTGCGCTGAATTAAGCTCATAAAGGCCCGGTGAGGACGCTGAAAAAGGGCCTTTTGGTTTGTTTTTTTCCCCCTAATTTCTTCTTTTTTTTCGGGGAGGAGGGGGTGAAGGAAAAAAAGGATGGGGAGAGGAGGAGAAGCATCCCTGGGAGTTGAGTCGAAGCAACCCCCTGCAAGGGACCGCTGCGGTGGGGAATCGTTCCCGAGCGCCGTTCCCGGGGGAAATCAACAGGGAGATGAACCCCACGCGCGTCGCTCGGTTGGGTGGGTTGGGGGGGGAGAGTCAGTGTATGAAAACGGCTCTTACCTGAGAGGTCTGTATTTCCCTCGCCGGGATAAAAGGCCGGTTCCTAGCGGAAAGGGGGCGGGAGGGAGGAGAGGAGGGAGTGGGGGAGATCATCGAAGCGGGTTTCCCCGAAGTTTGAGACGTGGCGGCCCCCGGGGCTCCGGCAGCAGCGGAGCAGCGTCCCCGAGGGTTTTAGCGGGGGGACACCCCTGTCACTCCCCCCGTATCCTCCCGGGGGCCGGGGGGTTTCCCCTCTTCCCGTGGGGGAGATGCGATAGCGCCGGGGGGCAGCTCTCCTCGCAGGGCTCCCGCAGGTACGGGAGGAAGGGGCACGGCGAGTTCTCCGCTCCCGCACCGGCGGGGCTGCGGGAAAGGGAGGGATGGCTGTGCTTTGGGGACGCGAGGCAGCGGGACCCCCGGCTCGGCGGGTGGAGGCACCGGCGCGGCGGGCGGGGGGAGAAGGGCAGAACAGCACGGCCGCGGAGCCCGGCGGAGGGGACAGGGCTGGCGATAGGGCTGGGAATGGGGCTGGATGGGGACGGGGATGGAGCGGGGG